ACCCGGTAGCAATGAGGCGAATTAAAAAAGACAAACACTTGAATTCCTGCTATTGTCACATTGGTGTCAGTGTTGATTGCATAACCCTGATGAACTGAGTTGTGTGTGTTGTTACATGTCTGGAATCACACCAAACTGCTCAACATTCGTTTCTTCAGCTCCTGCTGTGTGTTCCTGTGCTGAATGACAGCCTGGAAAGAGAAGGGCAGATAGAGCTGGAAGGAATATGGGGGAAAGGAGATGGCACTCTTCCCACTGGGGATTGTTGGAGAAAAATATTCCCAGACATATTTTCCACAAGAAGTACTATACAAATTTACCACTATCTCTTTAACCTTCCTAAGCTTGGATATTGGTTTAACAACAGTTTACCAACTATTGCATCTGTTTGTCCCAAATCTAGCATTATATCTTTGTTGGTGGATTGCCTTGTAGAGTTAGTTAGCCTGTGTCTTCTCCTATCCATCTAATATATAGCATTTACTTTGGGATTGTAGGCAGGTAACCATGCAAGGAATTATTTAGACACAGGCCTTACCTTTGTTTTAATGCCAGTGCATTCACTTAAAATTCAGTTTAAGGTTGTATTTCTATTTAATATATTTTAAGTAAGTCTTGAATAAATCTGCAAGCAAAAAAAAAAAGAGTATTTTTCTAATTCTTAATGTTGATCCAAATCCAGAAGATTTGAAGAATTTAGTATACAACTGATGAGAGGAATAGATTTTAAAATATTACAAATTTTAGTGTGTGTTTTCAGGTCCTGCAGGAGATCCATATAGAAAGCATGGGGAAGATTATTGGTTATCTTAATGGGGCTGATGCATGTGCTCTAGTAGTAGAAAGACTGTTTTACCTGTAGATAGATAATTTGTCCTGCCTATCTCTTTTCATTATGTAAGAGGAGGGAAGTATGCTAACTCTAATATTTTCTGAAGTATTGCTTTTTTGATCATAGCATAATAAGATTTCTTAAATTGCAGAGTAACCAAACAGCTTCATTCAGTTTAACAGCACAATATTTAGGGATGTTTGCAGTATAACAGCTTTATTGCTTTCAATGATTGATCTCTTGTTTACTTGTTGTCTTGTTTCCAGTTTAGGACAATAATGGCACAGATCAGCTGGAGAGCATTTTAGCACAGATATATTTGTGTCTTTTGTTGCTGTATTTTAATACATCTTCCTTGCCAATGTTTTCAGCATTTACTAGCAAAGCAGTAGTTATTTTTGCAAATTTATGTTTTTGTGAGATAAGATTTCTGGGTAAAGGCTTTTAGATAAACACTTTTCTGAAGACGCGTGATTGTAATACTACATTAGTCTAACTATACAATTACATGTGAGAGTAAATATTATTCAATATTAAACCAAACCAAACTCAAAATACCAATCCAGTCCTTGATTGTTTGTATGCTATGATTTCAGGCCAAATCATTCTCCAGTCTTTTGCTTAATTACACCCAATAGGTTATAGATGTAGAAAGTAAAATTAACAGGATGTTTATGAACAGAAATGGAATTTTATATCATATTAATCCTAAAAGTAGTAGGAAACTTGAGTGTATAGTCCTCAATACTTTTTCTCTAATGCATTTTTTTGTAGTGTACTGTAAAAATATGTGACAGTCATGAGATAAAGTATTTTATCAGTGCTTATTTGGGATGGCTTTGTAATGCAGCTGTGTATTTATGAATTGCCAAAAAAGTCTCATGTCTGTAATGCTAATAAGATCATATTACAGTATATAACTTTTACTTTCTGTCTTAGGTAATTTATGGAAATGGTGTAAGCTTGCGCACAAGCATAGCTTTTAATACCCCATATTAATATATGTGTACTCTGGAATATATTTGTGTCTTTAAACTTACAGGTTACTTGTATCACTGTGCTGTTTTGGAAACAAGAAACATAAGCTAAGAAATTCTTCATGTAAAAATTTCTTCATGTATCTTTGATATAAGTGGATTTCCACCAGGAGTATAATTGAATTAAGGAATATATGGAATAAATTTTTAAAGCAGGCATGAATTCTCGTTTAACCTTCAGATGGAGTTACATAAAAAGTAGTTGAAAAGAAAGAATTCTTAGTTTATACAATTTTTTGGGTAACTGTTGATTCCTAGTGCTTGCAACTGAGGTAATTACATATCAACTTTTCCCCCTTTATGTGAGAGAGTCAAGATGTTATTCACGGGAAGATTTTGTAAACTTTTATTTAATAGTAACTTGAAGCCATATATGGAAAGAGTGAAAAGCATGGCTTTTATTTGACGGCCCGTAGGTAGCCACCTTCTAATACCTGTTCTCGTGATGTTCTTTCTGAGTGTTAAAGTAATGGCAATGATAATTCTGCATTGTTATTGCTACTGTCTGACTGTTTTCAATAGGTTTATCCTGTTGTTTTACCTGCTGTAGTATACCTGGAGTCCACTTCATTAAATTTTGCCATTTTGCAAGAAGCTTGTCTTTGCTCATGTATCAGTTCTAAGACATTCAATTCTTGTTTGCTACAGCTTGTTCTTATTTATAGTTAGAATCACAGTGACATGAAGGATATCAAACAGATCTTGGATTCTTTTTGAGCTGTCTGGGTTATATTCCTACCCTTAACATTCTAAACAGAAAAGTTGGACAAATGGTAGGAGGGAGAGATAGCCTAAAATGTTGCTATAGGCCAGTGGTACATAGGTCTTTGATCATTAGCATGCTGTACAGTGAATTTTCTTTCATCCTCTGTGCAGCCATTTGAGCTGCAGAAGCAAACAGAACAGAAGATGTTATAGCAGCCTCTTCTTTTTCAGAGGGGGGAACAGATGGAACAGTAAACATACTTTGATCCAATATATCAAGATGACCAAAAAAAGTGTCAGTTATTCATATTCCTCACTGTAGAGTCTAAAAAGAATGTTAATAAATAGGTGTGTGTGTAAATGTGGAAAATTTCTGATTTTTGAGTGAAATGTTAGGGTATTCATTCGTGTATCTTGCAAAAGGGACTTTGGTTGCATACTGATGTCTGAACAAAGTTATTTCTGTCCTGTTATGTTTTTTTGTGCTAGTACAGGCTGCTTCTTCATATAACGTGGCAATGCACAAGTCTCCATATAGGGATACTCGGTGCACAGACATAAAGATCTGTATCTAACAAGACAGCAGAAAGGACTGGTTATATTCCTTTGGTGCACTTGATAGTTATGGATAGAATTAATTTTGCTCAAAAGTGACATGCCGGTCCATGACAGCAAAAAGTGTTTGTTCCTGATGACAGTCATTCACTTCTGCTGGTTCAGAAGGCTTCCCTGAAGGAATTTTAATTGATCTGCACTTACCCAAAATAAATCAGAAACACTGCTGTATCCTAGAGATTAAAGCAAAAGAGAAGATATTGGAATACAGAGTATATGATTTTTAAGGTTTGCTTTGAAATGAAACTTGGGACATGGAGATGCTGACCTGCATTTATATAAGTGTTGAACTGAGTGGAACTCATGGATGAAGTTACAGACTCAAACCCATGAGACCAGTGAACAACTTGAGAGGCAGAACCTTGCTTTGTAGCCCTTCACCCTGGCTGCTTTGGGACTGCGGACCGGAGAGAGAAAGGCTACTACCGCTTTACAGTAAGACTTCACTACATGCTTAATAAATTTGATTGATTTTTCCAAAACACCGTCACCACTGAAAAAATAAAATAAAATCAAATGAGGTAGCAAAGTGCAGAGGATCATGGGATTTCACTTTGCTGCTCAAAAGGATCTAGCCTGTATTTCAAATACAACTAAGACTAAACACCTGTGTACCTAATGCAGTAATTCTGGTTCTTGACTGGTGAATAGATCAGTGTAGAATGGATATAAAATTTGTTGACTTAGCACAACCATAAACGAATATACAAGGAGATAGGACAAGTCATCCTGCTTCAGATCAATGATTCACTCAGGCCATCCTCTATATCCAGTGATGACTGTCTTCCAAGGGTACCTCTACTCTCCCTTTTGACTCATGAAACCTCCTTGCATCAACAGCATCCTTGGGAAGAAGCTCACAGTTCCGCTACCCAATTTTTGGAGAAGAAACTCCTGCTTTTCCTTTCGGACTTGGCTTTTATGAGGCAGATCTTGAATTCAAGGGATAGGGAACAGACAATGTCTGTGTAACTTTTCCTTCTTCTTCAGACTTCTGTCATTTTCTATCATGCCCTTCCTTAAGTCATCTCTTTTCCAGTCTGGATTGTGGTGGTATACTGAATTCTTCCTCATATATGGAAACCATTCTAAGCCTTTGATCATGTATATTTTCTTCTCTAAACCTTGCTAATTAGTTCTGTTGCATTGTGTTCTGTGCTGGACAAGAAACTGGATCATGCTTTTCAAGATAGGGATTAATACAATAGCAAGTGACGTGTTAACACTTTGTTCTTTATTTCTTTCTCAATAATTTTTAACATTCAGTTTATAGATTTGACTTGAATGGGGTAGTGAGTTTTAAGTTTTCATGGAGCTACCCATCATAAACCCCAGGTCTCGCTTTCTGAGCAGTAAAACGTAGTGCAATAGAGAGCTGTTTTGTTTAACAGAAGATTCAGATTATAATATTCATCAATAATGGCTAGCCAAGGTGGTTTCCAGTGAACCTGTGCTCAGCAAATTGTGATTGCTTGCTCAGTAATAAGTATTCACAGTGTCTTCGTGGTACAAAATAAATAATCAATAATGTAAAATTATCTTTCAATTTTATGCTTGCTCTTTTAAAGTAATTTAATCTTGTTATTATGAATCTCAGAAGTGAAGTAGGTGACTGCTTTAGGAGTAGTGACTACTTCACATATTTCATACATAGAAAGATGTGAGACGTGTACGATTTCTTCCTACGTGTGCAGTACATGTGCGTAAGAATGACCCTGAAGTGTATTTTAAAGAGATGGTTGTAATACCTTGCTATAAAACACAATACAGATCCTTGCACTTACTGTGTTCCCTTCCATTTTTATTCTTAGATAACTTCAAGTGAAAGTTAAGGACCTTTTGTCCTTATTTGCTGTAGAGGAGACAGACACTTTTGTAAGGAGCACCAGTTTGAGCAAAAAGGAAAAGACCATCCCTTCCCACAGCACGGCAGTGACAAAGACTCTGAAGAAATGTAAGTGATTTATAACTGAACTGTGGCTATGGCTGTTTCTACTGTGGATTTATATGGTCTGTGGGAGGAATACAGTACCACATCACTGAAAAGTATTGCTTATAGATGTAAAATATGGTTTAGGAAAAAATTTGTAGAGCATACAGAAAATACGTACCCCTTCTATATTTGTGTGATGGTAAGCTATGCTACAATTATTTTGTTTTTCCAAATGACAATTGTTAATGGGAATGAAGTGCTGTAAGAGTCACAAACTTGCTTTTCTACCATTCTCTATTCATTTAGATCTGGGTTAATTTAAATAGGTAGAAATTAAGCGGCTGAATCTCAGACATCCTAGATTTGCTTACCCTCAGGAGAGAAGCAGGCATCTCCAGAGGCCAGTCCAGCTCATTCTGAAAGTAATGCTTGGGGAATGCAGTATTACTCACTCAATAGCTTGTGTTGACTGCTAAGCTTTAGCCTAAGTGTTCAGTGGACATTTAACCTGGCACGTCTGTGTCAGATGCAGTGCCAGCTTCTTTCCTCCTCCCCATATTGTTGTTCTCCCTCACGCAGCACGTGTGGCTGTTCAGAAATTTGGAGAATGGATCTGACTGAAAATAGCCAATTATTTGTAAGGTTTTGTTTTCAGCTGGGTTTATCCCAGCCTTCTCCTATATGGGTGTCCAGGGACTGTCACTGGTACAAAGGGTGATGGGGGTGGGAATTAGCAGCCAAAAGTGTGGGGGAGCACACGATAACTTCTTTTGGCAGCTGTGCTAGTTTCTGCAGCTTAAATTGCCTGGTGAGCTATAGTCTCAGACCTTGTAGATATTTTTAGTGCTCTGTCATTTATAAGAGTGAAAAAATGTGAGTGAGGCACTCTTACTTATTATCTAAATGGGGAACTACTGTTTTGTTGTGCTTTTCACACTGTGGTAGTGCAGAGTCTTCTCTGTCCTTTGTAAATTAAAAGTCAGGCCTCCAAACCCAGAAAATGGTCACCAGTGGCTAGCAAGTAAGCAGGTGTCTTATAGAGATTTATAGTGTAGGCATGATGCTGTAAAATTCATATATACATACATAATTTCTGAATCTTAAAGATGATAGCCTGATTTTGTATAGCAGCAAGCATGATGTGTGGGTTGGGTGATACCATATGATTAATGGCTGGACTAATTTAGGCACAAGATCCCTGCTTCTCCTGAACAGTAAAATACTGAATAACATTTCATTCTCACAGTAAATACCTGATGGGAGGGTGTAAGGAAGACAAAACTAGACTTTTCTCATTGCCACCCGGTGACAGGATGAGAGGCAGTGGGTGCAAACTGAAAACAGAAAATAAATTATGTTTACATTGAAAAATAATGTAAAAAACTTCTTTAGCGGGAGGATGGTCAAACACTGGAGCAGATTGCCCAAAGAGGCTATAGAATCTCCATCCATGGAGATACTGAAAACCCAGTGGGGCAAGCAACCTGCTGCATCTGACCCTACTTGATCAGGGGTTTAGATTAGATGAGCTCCTGAAGTCCTTTCCAACCTTAGATATTCTATGGTTCTGGGGATAATTATAGGTAAGCAAAATCAGGAAATGTCCTGCTATTTTATTTTATGACATTTAAAATTTAATTTTTTAAAATAATTTTTATATTTTGATGTGTTTAGATACTCAGTTTAGTCTTTTACTTAAGTTTTGGCTAAAAATGAGGCATGGCAGAATTTGAGAGCTTTCTAAAATGTGTTAAATTTTATTTCAAGACTTTTAATTATAACTATGAAAATCACATTGAAGTCTGTGAAAATATCTTTTAGCTGTGAATTAGCACCATGATTCACGTGATGTGGGCAGTCACATGATGGGGATTTTAGATGTTTAAAATAGTATCTTTTTCACTTGATCCGTGGTAAGGAAGATACATTTTTAGTATCATTTTGTGTTTGAAAAAAAAAGACATAACTAGGAACAGAGCCTTGCAGGAGAGCTCCATTAATCTCCAATAGAAATAGCTGTCTTCCTGAAGTCTTTTCAGAGGTCAATGAGACCTAGAAAGTGACTTAAAAAATGCATTATAAACTGTTTTCAGTTATTTGCAAATGGGTATTCTGAGACAGTTCATAATTCAAGAGGATACCAATGTAAACATGTAAAAACTGGGCAAATGTACTGTGAGACTTCACAACATTATCTTTTATCTTCTATGAATGTATGATTGAGGGGCTTTTTTGTGTTTTGAAATACTTAGGAGAAAGGAACTCTCTCTTCAAATGTCAGCTTTCTTGAATTTTAACTTTGATTATTTTGGCAGACATTTTCTGTTCACAGTTTTTCTATAGGCAAAAGTTTCTGTGAGATGGGTGTATAATTTCTGAAAATGGAAAAAAATGGTCTAAAAAAAGGTCTGTGACCTCTTCTTTGCTTTTGAGCAAGGACTTGAAATTTAAAAGGAAAACTTTAATGGGTTACAAGATACGTCTTTTGCCATGCTTCTGAATGTCTGTCCTTATTGCACTGAGTTATAAGCTTTTGAGAATTGCTGCTTACTCATAATCAGAAGAGGCATATTACTTTGTCAGCATATTCTGAAAATATTCTCTGTATATTCTTAATCTTCTAGAAATGACTGAGTCTGTCCTAGCTTGGAGATCAAACACTGTATGGCATTTCAAATTTACAGATCCCTCGCTATTTTCACAAAAGGGTCTTGTTTTTTGAATTTTTCTGGGACAGTGTATTTTGATTTTTTTTTCTGCATTTTCCGCTTACTTTTCCCATGTACTTTTTGAGAAGGATGTCAAGAGTGGGATTAATTTCCCCTGATGTTATACGTCTGAAAACATAGGTGTTGTATATCTGAGCTGGTCGCTGTAGGCTTCTTTAGTCAGTGAAGAGAGATGGATGAGAGGATTCCCATAGACTCTTTTTATTTCTGTCTTTACATGAGATGATTAATTCTTTGGAGATGCCTGTTTCTGGTCACTGACAATAAAAGCAACCTAAGATGACTGGCACAAATTTAGACTTTTCACTTTTCTATTAAACATTAAGGCAGATAAATTCCACCTCATGTGACATAATGGGAAACTTAAGAGGCAGTAATGTTACCACTGACATTGATAAAAACATTCTGCTTTCACATGAGTAAACAAAATTATTTCAAAAAATTATTTCTTTATGCTTGTGGTGATACATACAAACTTATTAAAAGCAAATTTTCCATATTGCTTAGATATGGTATGTAACCATTAAATACTGTGCTTAATTCTATGAAGTATCAATAGATATTGGGTATTTTCTTATATTTGGTTTCTAGGTTAAGAAATGCAAATGTTTTAACTCTATGTCATTAGTTTCTAGTAAGATAATAAAAGAGATGTATCATGAGATTCTTGCATTGCTACTTTTTAGATTGCAATAGAAGACTGAAAAAATCCGGTGCTAATATAACAGACAATAATACACTTTTAGCTAATTTTAAAATTAAATATAACTTTAATTTTTAGGAGCAATCAATTTGGTTGGCTTTCCAATTTGAAAAAGATTACTATCAAACAATATTGATAATATGTTCTGTTACATGAGATTGTGATGAAATGCTATTTTCCATTAGTATTGAAGTATTTTAGATTTCTTTGATAGTTTAAACTGTTGCCTATATTTGAGTAATGGCTAACGTTGGCTAACGCAGGATGATAACGCCTTATTCCGTCCCACTTTGCATCGATAAGAGGTGTTGTGGGGAGAACCCTTTATTGCCGTGGAATAGTTGAATGGGTCTAAAAGGCATTAGAAAGATTGTACACTGTTTCTATTTCCTTTTTAGCTAAAATACAGGTATATGACAAAGACATTGTAGTGTGACATAATTAAATGTCTTTTTGTGTCTAATTACCATATATTTGAATCATTACCTTGGACGGTTAGGCTTACCTAGACTTAATTCATATGTATTTTTAATGTCACCGTGATGAGACTATGGACAACAACTGAATATGCTTCTAAGATGGTCTCAGTATTATACTGGTCCTATAAGGACAAGTATGAGCAGGACTGCTCATGGTAAGCTCTGTTTCTGTAATTCCATTTACAGTTGACTGATTAGCCCTTATTGGGGTGTATAAAATTTTTCTTTCAGTTATAATTTTATTTTGGATATTATATTTTGTATTTTGAATGTTTCATTTCCATATTTTCTTCTTTTTAGTATTTAAAAAGTAGTACATTTAGTTCAGTATTGCATAGTAGCAGCATGCATATATAAGTGTAAAAACTACAGTGAATACCTGACTCCTGGAATCTACATTTGGCTGAGGAAGCGATTTGGTTTTTTTTTGAAAAGAGTGCTTGCAAATTGGCCTAAAGAAAGTGCTTAGAGAAGGGAAGTAATCTCATGTTAATAATTTTAAGGTGTTTTCTCTCTCTCTCTTTTTGATATTTGCACAAAAGAGCATTCACCAATGTTTGTATCTCAGTATCACTAAGCCATGTGCTCTAAATAATAACAAAATATTTTTCTTAGAAACAGTTACATCAGTACTCACTGGATGAGATTTTCACTGGTAAATACACAGAACTTCACTGAAGCTGACAAGCTGGCTCTTTATGTCGTTGGTACAAGTTTTATAGGCTTGCATTTTTTCAAACCTATAAGATTGTCTGGCTTTATTTGGACTGGATTTGTATTATTCCCATCCTTCTGCTACTTTAAGAGTGTTTAGTTTTGAATGGAATTTTATGCATTATCACAAGAAAACACTAAAAAGACCCCACATATGAAAAAATTAAAAGGGCGTTTCAGCCAAGGTGCCGCTAAACAGAGGATGTGGGAGTAGTGAATAACTGCATATTTTTATTGAACTATAAATTTTATGATTGACATTTTGTCCTGACCCTGTTAGAGATTCAAACTGAGGACATCCAACAGGCTGAGAATATCTGGGTCCAGTGAATGAGTTTGAGTTTAGAAACCTGAAGAGTTTAGAAATCTGTTCAAGAAAACTCGTTAATGACTGTG